GGGATTATAGATGTTGCAAGAAAATAGCTTATGGAGAGTCGGTAATTCGGTATTTTTTTGGAGAAGGTTTCCATTAGCTTGTTCTTAATGTGGGTTTCAAAGATCTTGCCGATGACGGGATGAAGGGAGATAGGGCAATAGTTGGATGGGTCGGATATTTATGATTCTTTTCTTGTTGACGCAAATTATTACAGATGACTTCCAATCTTGTGAAGTGTTGATTGATGAGGCAGAAGTTTAGAATTTTTATAGTATAAGCATGGGAGGGAGGGTTTAGTTTCCTTAGTATATTTTTTATAACATGGTCGTACCCAGGAGCGGTGCTTGTTCCATTGCTAAGGATTAGGAAGTATTCGTCCTCGTGGATCAGCGCGTCTTCGGGAGTATCTGCAGTTTCATACCAGTCATCTAAGAGGCATCTTCTGAGAATAAAAACACACGCTGAAGGTAATCCCCGTGGATGTTGACAATTTCTTCGGGATCGGTGTGTGAAGTGCCATCTGAGGGGTCAATAAGTTCGTGGGTTTCAGGAGACTTTTGATATCTAGATAATTTTCGAACTTACTGCCAGTACTTTTCGCTTTTGAATTGTTTGATTAAGGCTTGAATATGCTTGTTAAGTTCATTGAATTTGCTTTTTACAATCAATTTTTTGAGATGTTCATTAAATTAAGATATCGTATCGGCAGTAATTAAAGAGTTCGTGTTGATAAATTCTGAGATGCCTGAGTTCACCTCTTCCATCTTGCAGAGGTTGAAATTTTTTATGGTTTTTGGAACCGCTCTTGGAATGGGAGTCGTCAACTGCAGGTGGACCAGATCGGGAATGACTGCAACATGGGTTAACAGAGATCTTATGTTTCGCGAGTAGAAGATCATGTCCGGAGTGCTTCTGTGCCGAGCGTGATAGTAAAATGAAGAGCGTTGTTTAACTGACAGTTGATTCTTGGTGGGTTGGACTTTCCCATTTGCAGCATAGGATCGCAGATGACCACGGCTCCTCCTTTTTCAATTACTCTCCAGTATTTGAACTTGATTCCACCCTTCGATTTTGTCTCCACAGTTGATGCGGTTGCAATTTATAAAGTTTCCAATTATATGGGATTTTATATGGGATCAAGCAACAATTGTATCGATTTGATGTTGTTCAATAAATCTACGTTTTAAGGAGTTAATGAGCTCTGGCGATCTAAGCACTTAGGAGAGTTCTTAGGAGAGTCACATAGGTATCAATGATATGGTCGTGGATCGTGGTCTTTCGTTATGTTATTATTAAGCTGGTCTGATCCCTTATTGGCCAACTTAATGCGTACATTAGGCACCCCTTAATAGGCGCTGTAGGTCTGCTTTTGCATTTAAATGACCATGCCCATGATTATTTTTCGGAAAGTTGTGATGTGCAGTTAGAGGTGTTGTGGGGACCCAAGCATTTTGTGCATTGAATTTTTGCTGTACATTTGTCGGAAGAATGAGAAAACTCATTACATCTGTTACATGGTATTGGAAGTGGCGGAGGGGGGCGGCATTCATGTAAAAAATTAAGTTAGTAAAAGTCCTCAAATTGCAAAGATACATCAAAGTTAGGAAATTTTAACACATTTTTCTAAATATCTTAAACACTATTTATGGTAAAGCGTTGAAATTTGATTGTTCCTAAAGTTTATTTGTTCAGAACTTTTTTATTCTATCATAACAATACCTTTATTTTTGCAATTTCTAATAGTACTTCACTCTTAGAGAATATTGATAAAAACCTGTATATATATACATATATATATAAATATAAAAAACTTCTTAACATCATCAGCCAAAATCTTTGTAAGCAGAAAATAAAAAGACGAATTGAAATCTTAAAATAATTTTGTTAAAACGTTTTTTGATAGAATGAGATTGTTTGTATTTGTAAAAAAAATAGCAGGTGACTAGCAAGGTCTAAAACCGAATTAAATTGACGATGGAATAATTTGTCTTGGACACCTTGACAAATCGGAAGTGCACGCAGGCGGAAGGCAATAAGCAGGAGGAATACGGTGCTGTAGTAGCACGGTATTATAGCAGTATGGTGCTATAGTATCACGGTAGTGGCGTATTGCGGAGGGCACGTGCATTATCTGTTCGATCGTATCTACGTCCGCCCTCTCTCGCTGTCCGCCCTCGCCCATTCTCGATCCCAATCCCCCCTTTCACCCCATTCGCCCATTTGCCGTGTTTGTCGTATTTGGCGAAAATATTTGAACCGTTCCGGCGGTACAATGTCTCCATCGGTCCGCGAGTAATTGCCCTTCACGCCTTCTTTAAGGAAACTGCAGACGCTCGCATTGTTCGACTTCGTCTCCAACGGCAAATAGAATTTTCAATTTAATGCCTTCTCTTAATAGAATACCAGATTAATTCAAAAAGTTATAAACATTTTTTCATCCAAATACCCGATATGTTGTACATCGGGTAATAATACTTTATGCTAACTAGCACTACTTACCACTGCTACTAGAACTAACACTAGACCGAGAACTAGAAACATTCGGATTTAGCCGCACGTCTCTCAAGACGGCTCACACTAGCACTGTCACTAGAACAAGATCTAGAACTAGAAGCGTTCGGGTTTAGCCGCACGTCTCTCAAGACGGCTAAACCCGAATGATTCTAGTTCTAGGTCTTGTGTGAGTTCTAGTGATAGTGTAAAACTAGAACTAACATTAGACCTAGAACTAGAAACATTCGGGATTCACAAAAGGAAGAGAACTGAACCATGCAATAGAGGCCCTAAATTGTGAGGTGCTCTCCACTGGGAAGCCAACTTACTGACTATAAAAATACTGACTCAGCGACGTTTTACTAGTGATATATTGCTATTCTATAAATTAACTCATATCTATAATTCGACTTCGCTTACGTCTCTAGTGAATTTGCATGTTCCGCCCAGAACGTTCAGATATGATTTTCTCTTTTTCACTCCAACAACCCGCACTAATGTTTATCAAAATTCCCCATTGTCAACATATCAACATTAATTTCAATCAGAATTTTTGATCGTTTATTTTACTTATTTTATTTTTTTACTACTGTTCATTACTGATGTTATTTTGTGTCTTTATTATTTTGTTTTGTTCTTATTCTTTTCAGTAACACAGCTTTTATTGGGTTCACCTGTGCTGTGTCCTATGTACAGGGTGTCCAAATTTCGATGGGTTTGCAGGGTATCTCAGTTATTATGAAAGATAGAAAGTTGCGGCTTTCCCGAACCTGAGCTACTTTTTTGTGAAACTTACAATGGCGCAAATCAAATTTTCATAGCCCTCTTCGTTTTTGATATAGGGACTGTTTGAAATTTACGATTTTCAGACACCTCCTGTATCTCGGCTATCCGGAAACTTAGTAATAAAGTAAAAACGGATTTTAATAGATTTTTTCACGTGGAATCCAATGGTGCACGTAGAATTTTTCTGGTGATCACGGTTTTTGAGTTATAAACACAACTCAAATACTGAATATTCAACTTTTAAAATACTTAACTCTTTATAACTCAAAAACCGTGATGACTAGAAAAATTCTACGTGCACCATTGGATTCTACGTGCAAAAATATATTAGAAACCGTTTTTACGTTTCCGGATAGCCGCGATATAGGACGTGTCTGAAAATCGTCAATTTTGAAACACACCCTGTATATCAAAAACGAAGAGGGCTATGAAAATTTGGTTTGCGCCATTGTAAGTTTCACAAAAAAGTAGTTCAGGTTCGCGAAAGCCGCAACTTTCTATCTTTCATAATAACTGAGATACCCTGCAAACCCATCCAAATTTGGACACCCTGTACATAAATAAATAAATTTTGCCGGGATTTCTTTGGCTTTAGTGCATTTGCTGGTCCAGTGTTCACCAGTACATTTAACTCATCTCGGATTTTTGTGGCAGTAAGCTTTGGTGTGACACCTTTTGCACTGGGGCTTTCTGTACTCTTCGATTTTGACACGCATTTCTAATATGTTTGTTATTTCATGGATTCTTTTTACACTGTCACTAGAACTAACACAAGACCTAGAACTAGAATCATTCGGGTTTAGCCGGACGTCTTTCAAGACGGCTAAACCCGAATGATTCTAGTTCTAGGTCTTGTNAACACTACCTTTATTTTTGCAATTTCTAATAGTACTTCACTCTTAGAGAATATTGATAAAAACCTGTATATATATACATATATATATAAATATAAAAAACTTCTTAACATCATCAGCCAAAATCTTTGTAAGCAGAAAATAAAAAGACGAATTGAAATCTTAAAATAATTTTGTTAAAACGTTTTTTGATAGAATGAGATTGTTTGTATTTGTAAAAAAAATAGCAGGTGACTAGCAAGGTCTAAAACCGAATTAAATTGACGATGGAATAATTTGTCTTGGACACCTTGACAAATCGGAAGTGCACGCAGGCGGAAGGCAATAAGCAGGAGGAATACGGTGCTGTAGTAGCACGGTATTATAGCAGTATGGTGCTATAGTATCACGGTAGTGGCGTATTGCGGAGGGCACGTGCATTATCTGTTCGATCGTATCTACGTCCGCCCTCTCTCGCTGTCCGCCCTCGCCCATTCTCGATCCCAATCCCCCCTTTCACCCCATTCGCCCATTTGCCGTGTTTGTCGTATTTGGCGAAAATATTTGAACCGTTCCGGCGGTACAATGTCTCCATCGGTCCGCGAGTAATTGCCCTTCACGCCTTCTTTAAGGAAACTGCAGACGCTCGCATTGTTCGACTTCGTCTCCAACGGCAAATAGAATTTTCAATTTAATGCCTGCTCTTAATAGAATACCAGATTAATTCAAAATTAAAAAAAAAATTTTTTTATCCTTGTTTTAGTTTGTATGAAAGAAAGATACGGAGGGTGGTAAAAAATTTAAAAGTATAAAGGGAACACTCCGTCTCTTTTTTTTTCAATTAGTTATAAGTACTTGAACCGCGAATCCAAATTGCCAAGAGATGACATCGTTTCAAAATTTTCCAGGTCGGCAATCAAAGGAGCTCAGATGACGTCGCCAAAGAGTTCGACGCCGGATCCCCCGTCGTCCAAGGACCCTTCGGCGACCTCGAGGACCCTGAACTTTTCGATCGCGCGCATAATGGAGCCGGACGAGAAGTCGGCTTCGAAGCGATTCGGACGTGGTGGCGGTGGCGGTGTCGAAGAGGCCGCGGCAGCTGCGGCGGCGGCGGCGGCCGAGGCCATAAGAAATTCTATATACCCGCAACACTTGGAATCGGCGTTCAAAAAATACGTGCCGACATCCCTGCGCACACCTCATCATCAACACCACCACCATCATCATCACCCAGAATCGATGCCACATCATCATCATCAGTATCCATTGGTTTATTATCCCAGTCAGTTAATGTGTGTCGCCACCACCTCCGTTTCCGTTTACTCAATCTCTCAGGAGGGTGGAAGGACGACGGGTACTGGTCCTGGGGGAATCGACTCGACGCCCGTCCGAGACTACAATAAGCACGCAAAGCGGTCTGCGATCGATGCGAAACCTGGCAGCGTTGATGATGGCGATGGGGTAGGTGTTGGTGGTGGTGGTGGCGTTTCGACGACTTCAACGACCACCGCGGTTTCCACAACTGTTTCTGCCACTCAAGGGCCGTCCTCCAAGCAAAAAAGCTTCGAGTGTGGAGAATGTGGTAAGGTCTTTAACGCGCATTATAACCTCACGAGGCATATGCCCGTTCACACTGGAGCTAGACCATTCGTATGCAAAATATGTGGAAAAGGTTTCCGACAAGCTTCGACCCTTTGTCGACACAAAATCATTCACACCTCGGAAAAGCCCCACAAATGTTTAACCTGTGGAAAAGCCTTCAATAGATCCTCGACGTTGAACACCCACGCGAGAATTCACGCCGGTTACAAACCGTTCGTCTGCGAGTATTGCGGAAAAGGATTTCACCAGAAGGGAAACTATAAAAATCACAAACTCACACACAGCGGCGAAAAAGCTTACAAATGTACTGTTTGTTCGAAAGCCTTCCATCAAATTTACAACCTCACCTTCCACATGCATACGCATAACGATAAAAAACCCTTCACGTGCGAAGCATGCGGAAAAGGATTCTGCAGGAACTTCGATCTCAAAAAGCACGTTAGGAAGCTACACGAACATAATGGCGCAGCTGAATGTCTTTCCGACGGAAACCCGATGTACTCCAGGGATAGAACCACGCAACTTCACCACTTTATCAGCCCCTTCCTCCTCCCGCCTTCCGCCCAATCTGAACGGACTTCCGTCTACTCCGATAAATTGTTATGACCCTTTTAAACTCTGTCGAGACTGACTTTAATAAACAAGACTTAACACGTAAGAAAAAAAAAATTATTAAATTGAAATAAAAAGATCTCTTAAAACACTAATAAAAATTAATAACGTATTCGATGTGCAATATCTTGAGCTTAATAGCGTTCGCGTCCCGGAAGTTGCTCTTTATTTTGTTTAAGACTTCGCAGGTACTCGATTATAAGTGTATTATATTAAGAAAATCCCTTAAATATATACGAAATAAATTGAATTTTATTTGACTTTTATTTCTATGCAACCAACTACGCAAATCGCGTATTGCAATACCAATACTGTGATATTGGTTACATACTTGCGATGTATTTATATCCTAATAAATAAAGGTAAGGCTAATAAATCTTTGAAATGAAGGTTTTTATTTATGGGGATGATTGAAAAAACGAAGGCAAATAGCGCGAAACCGGAAAAGATTAGCGAAGAAGGGAGAAGTTATGAAAGGGGCGGCTTTCGAGCGCACAATCGGATGCGGTTTGTAAACGTTGGTAATTTCGTTCCGGGTCCATGCACTCGGTGTTTCTCGGACACACGTAGTTTTTGGTCGACGTAGTACTCCAAGTCCCTTTGATAGTTCCGTTGAGCCGTATCCTCAATCCCGAGCGAAAAACCGAAACCAAACGGGACAACTGTAAAATTGAATAATAGTTACGCAGTGGAGATTACGTTCACGGGTTTTCTCCTTGAGTGGTCACTCACAACGGGGCGGGGCTAATATCCTTAAGCTGATTACACAGTAGCCCCGCAAAACACCCGGTATACCTTTAAAGGTCTTAAAACTTCTTCTGCCGGGCCATGGGAGCGGGAGGAACTCGTTTTTATTGTCGAAATAAGACGTCGCCCCAAAAGCCCAAGACCGGCTTTGACGTGTTTGCATTCCGCCTCCGGTTGTTCGCCGCACAAAATCGGTACCCGACATATTCCATTGTTTACTCAAGTGCTCTACCCTCCCCCAATTATTTAAGAAATTCTACGCTACGTCCCCGGAGATCATCTCCAACATTTTCACGATCATATCGTCTCCTCTTTAGATTATATCCCGTCAGATGGTTAATAAAAGAATTTTTACATACAATTTTTTTCGACTGACTTTGTATTCAAAGTTTTCCCTCGCTACCTCGATTGTAGTATTATTACAGTTTATTCATTTAGGGGTTTGATGCTTAGTATTGTTTCTTGATACTTCTTGATTTCTAATAGATTAGATCCTCTACATCTATGATGTTAGTAGCAGCATGTTATCTCCATTTGATTTACTGTGGATTGTGATTCAACAGATTGTGATTCATATTTACAAAAAAAGTTTTTCTAAAAAAAACTTTGGCTAAAAAGGTGTATTATCCAAATCATTATTATTACTGGATTCTTGGAGTGGCCACTATCCTAAAATTATTAGTTAAGTAACTCCATCGTATGTTAAGTTTAAACATTTGTCTATGCCTATTTGGCTTTAGAATGTGGAAAAATTTTATTGGAAGATTTTCTGATCAAGTTATGCTCTTAAATGTATATTCAAGATTTTTCATAATATCATTGAATATATTCTTTTGAAGTTCATCCAATACTTCTTCGGACATAATTGTTATTGAAGGATAAATATACTATAGTGGTTTTCCATGTAATATATAAATATAAATATGTTTTCAACAATTTTAGAATTGAAAATGTTCTCTCTGGAATAGGTGTGCTTACTGGCAAGGTGCACAAAATTTTCAACACTTCTTCTGGTAAACTATTGTAAAATTTTCTGCACCAAAGTTTAAATTCACCAACTACAAGTTTTGAGACGTCATCTAAACCATATTTATAAAATTCTACTAACTGTTCAAATTGTAATAGTTGAGTTTGAAAATTTCGCAAAGTATTAATAAGAGTGTCCTCTTTCCCATTAACCGACATGTTTTGAAAAATTACTTTTAGTTTTTGAGAAAACAATATTTGAAGTTTTGATAATTTGCAATTTTTATCGATAATTTTAAAAATTCGCTATAAAATTCATTTCTTGAAGGATCCTTGTGGAAACATCAGCAATTATTAATTAAAGTATCCTCTTTTTGATGCAAAAAGCCGTTTTGAAAAATCACTGTTAGTTCTTGAGAAATAAATTATTGAAATGATCGACAATTTTCTAGAATTTTGCAATTTTCGCCGATTAAGTTTTAAAAATTCGTATAAAATCCATTTCTTGGAATATGAGCTTGAAAATTTCCTAAAGTGTTAATAAGAATGTTGGCTTTCCAATGAACCGACACGTTTTGAAAAATAACTTTTAGTTTTTGAGAAAACAATATTTGAAGTTTTGATAAATTGCAATTTATATCGATAATTTTCAAAATTCGCTATAAAATTCATTTCTTGAAGGATCCTTGTGGAAATATCACCAATTATTAATTAAAGTATCCTCTTTTTAATGCAATAAGCCGTTTTGGAAAATCGCTTTTAGTTTTAGAAAAATAAATTGTTGAAATGATCGACAATTTTCATTCCGCTTACATTAATTATAAAATAACAGTATATTTATGTTGAGTTCTTCGTATAATGTTTTAGGTCTTTCTTCGTTCGTTCGAGTCTTGCACATCTGATGTAGGGTGTCTTGCATTTTTGGAGAATTTTTCTTTCAGTATTTTATGCCTCACTGAGATTGGTTTTATTTCCGTTCTTGAATATAGATCTTCATTGTTTATGTTGTGAAGTGGATTGTTCGGGTGTCTAATTTTTGTCAGAATACTTTACTATTTTCTTTGTAGGTCAATGATCTAAATATGTTTTGCTCGTAAATATGTTTGTATTTTTTTGTAGTTTGAATTTCAACTTGTTGTCCAGGGTTATGCCCAAATATTTGACCAAGTTTGTAGGTTTTGTAATTAATGTGCCTGTCGTGATGTGCTGGGATTGATCGGTGATTCTGGAGTGTGGGATCAATAGTTGGAATTTGTCCGGATTGGGGGTGACTCTCCATTTGTGGAACCATGATGATATGTTGTTGTATAGCGTCTAGAGTGATTCTATTGCTATTTGAAAGTTTCTTCAATGCGATATTAGTGTTGTGTCATCTGCATATCCGGATCAATATAGTTGGTGTCTGGATGGGTTGGAGGGTATATATCATAGCAGTAGACGTTGTACAGAGTAGGTGAGATTGGGGATCCTTGAGATAGTCATTATTAATTTTGATGCTCAGTATTCTGTCGCGAAGATATTCATCTATAATTTTCAGGTAGGGTGTAGGTATTCTTAATTTATCCATCTTGTATAGAAAGCCCTGGTGCCAGACTGTGTTGAAGGCTTCATTTATGTCAAGAAATAAGATCGCGGGTTTTCGGTGATGTAGATTCGTTACTTGTATGTTATTTGTGAGAATAATGAGTGGATGAATTGTTGATTGTTTCTGTTTGAAGCCGAATTGGTATATAGGGATTTTGTCTTTAATAAGGTGAAGAATTCTGGAGTTAAGGATATTAATTAATTTAAGGAATTTTCTGGAATTTTGCAATTTTCGCCGATTAAGTTTTAAAAATTCGTATAAAATCCGTTTCTAGTATTAATAAGCGTGTCTTCTTTCCAATGAACCGACACGTTTTGAAAAAAAACTTTTAGTTTTTGAGAAAACAATATTTGAAGTTTTGATAATTCGCAATTTTTATCAATAATTTTCAAAATTCGCTATAAAAATAATTTCTTGAAGGATCCTTGTGGAAATATCACCAATTATTAATTAAAGTATCATCTTTTTAATGCAACAAGCCGTTTTGAAAAATCGCTTTTAGTTTATGAGAAATTAATTTTTGAAATGATCGACAATTTTTTCGAATTTTGCAATTTTCGCCGATTAAGTTTTAAAAATTCGTATAAAATCCATTTCTTGGAATATGAGCTTGAAAATTTCCTAAAGTGTTAATAAGAATGTTGGCTTTCCAATTAACCGACACGTTTTGAAAAATAACTTTTAGTTTTTGAGAAAACAATATTTGAAGTTTTGATAAATTGCAATTTTTATCGATAATTTTCAAAATTCGCTATAGAAATAATTTCTTGAAGGATCCTTGTGGAAATATCACCAATTATTAATTAAAGTATCCTCTTTTTAATGCAACAAGCCGTTTTGAAAAATCACTTTTAGTTTTTGAGAAATTAATTTTTGAAATGATCGACAATTTTCTCGAATTATGCAATTTTCGCCGATTAAGTTTTAAAAATTCGTATAAAATCCATTTCTTGGAATATAAGTTTGAAAATTTCCCAAAGTGTTAATAAGAGTGTCCTCTTTCCAATTAACCGACACGTTTTGAAAAATAACTTTTAGTTTTTGAAAAAACAATATTTGAAGTTTTGATAATTTGTAATTTTCAAAATTCGCTATAAAAATAATTTCTTGAAGGATCCTTGTGGATATATCACCAATTATTAATTAAAGTATCCTCTTTTTAATGCAACAAGCCGTTTTGAATAATCGCTTTTAGTTTTTGAGAATTTTGCAAATTTCGCCGATTAAGTTTTAAAAATTGAATATGAGTTTGAAATTTTCGTAAAGTATTAATAAGCCGTTTTGAAAAATCGTTCCATCACTAATCCAAGGGTTTCTAAGATATCTTTGTGAGCAATAAATCTCTCATTTAATTGCATTACTACGTGGCCTAAGAATGGAATGTTTCAAAATTCGCATCAACTGGTTTCCTTCCAGAAATATATTGCTAGAAGATGTGTCAACATTGTGTATTTATCATTTGAAGTAATTTTGACAAGGGGGTGTTCTTCCATAATTAAGAGACAACATAACTTTGGAAGCACTTAAAGAATTCTTCAACAATGTTGCCCCAGATGACGATTCCCGATCTTTCCAAGTTGATATGTCTTCTAGAGCAGAATCTTCTTGTCTTGATTGTGGATTAAAAAAATTGTATGCATTTTCTATTATACCCATACAGTTTCTAATAAGCTGTTTTAATTCTCCATTAAACTCCACGAAGATTATTTAAATCAAATCCATACTTTTTAAATTCTTGAATTATTACATTGGTTAATAATTCACCTGTGGTTGATGGTAACTTGGCACTTAATGCCGCCAAAAGACAATTAGGGACATCTATGATTGACATTAAAAATGTTTAACCTCAAAAACTTTAACGGAAAATAAATTACGTGATTGTAAGCGACATCTATGATTTAAGTTCTAAATTAAGAACCGACATAAATTTGTTTTATACATAAGAATTAATATGTGACTTTATATATTATGAAATAATGTGATAAATAAAAGCGATAAATTTATACAAAAGTAAAAAAAAAATGTGAATATTAGCGCCCTCTATGATTGAATAGTGAAATAAGGAGTCCTTTAAAAATGGCGTTTACCCTTGTGACAGTTACAAAACGTTTGGGGGTAAAAGCGATTGATTTTTCAAAACGACGGATGCCGTAAATAATTCCGTTGGTTAACAACGTGTGCGAACATGTGTGGGGTGCGTTTCCGGTCGAAGAGAGTACGGCAGGAAGCCTGAACGAACGCCAACGTTGAGGGAAACAAAAACCGCGAGAAATTACCGGAAGTTTGCTTTTAAACTGTTCGTAGGAAGAGCAAAGGGGGCTTCCTCCTGTGGCATTGATATGGTAACTATGAACTCCAATAAGTCTACTGCCAAGCGAAAAACGGATTCCGGTTGTGCAAGAAGCAGTAATGAAGAGACATGTACTGGTTATAATACCGCTAATACTGAGGATTCACCCAATATTTTACTTTACAAAAAAGTAATTTTTTTAAATTTTTTTTTATTTTGATTTACCTATAATGCACGTGTTTTATTATTTTATCCATATCCCAATAAATTGTACTCCTTGTTTATTTACTAATTGCACTATCAAATTTGGTTGAAATAAATTTTCAGAATGCGCGCGCATAAAATTTTTAAGTACATTCCGCTTAATTGGGACACCGCTTAATCGGGTGAACCGCTTATTTGGGACAAATCGAAACTTTAATTTATGCATACAAAATCGGGACAAAATTAAGTCCCAATTAAGCGGAATCGATCGTATAACTTAATTAAAAAAAATAATAATTATTTTTAGATGGAAAAAATGGTTGAAAAAATGCAAGATGAAGTAACAGGAGTTCCAGTACGAACAGTGAAAAGCTTTATGTCAAAAATACCATCAGTATTTACAGGTTCTGATCTTATAATGTGGATGTTAAAAAATTTGGATGTTGATGATCAAACAGAAGCGTTACATTTAGCACATTTGGTAGCATCTCATGGTTATTTTTTCCCCATTGATGATCATATGTTAACAGTGAAGAATGACAATACATTCTATCGTTTTCAAACTCCTTATTTTTGGCCCTCGAATTGTTGGGATCCGGAAAATACGGATTACGCGGTTTACTTATGCAAAAGAACGATGCAGAACAAAACGAGACTTGAACTGGCGGACTATGAAGCTGAAAATCTTGCTCGATTACAAAAAATGTTTTCGAGAAGATGGGAATTTATTTTTATGCAAGCTGAAGCTCAAAGTAAAGTTGATAAAAAGAGAGATAAACTTGAAAGAAAAGTTTTAGATAGTCAGGAAAGAGCTTTTTGGGATGTTCATAGACCAATGGTAACAAAAACAAACAAACAAACGTTTTCATTGATATTTGATGAATATTTTTTAGCCTGGTTGTGTAAATACAACAGAAATAGATATTAAAAAAGCCTGTCAAATGAATAAATCGTTAGGTGGTATTAGAAATGTTCATCTTGTAGCTTGCGAAGCAAAAAATTCGCCTTCAACTTCCACATTGGCAAGAAAAACAACAACAGAAAGTTTACATAAACAAATATCATTGATTAAATCGAGATTAGACAGGCGAAATATAAAAGTTTCAAAGGTTGCAGAAGCGTTTATAGCTTATTTTGAACAGTATTTAGAATATGACGCCTTTTTTGTTGCTCCCGAATATCCAAATCCATGGATTTCTGATAGTCCGGATTTATGGGAACAAGAAAAACAGGCAAAAGACATATCAGCTCGAAGAGTTAAGCGATGGGCTTTTAGTTTAAAAGAGTTACTTCAAGATCCACTTGGAAGAGAACATTTCATTAAGTTTTTGGATAAAGAATTTAGCGGCGAAAATTTAAAGTATTTTTTATTTTTCATTTAAAGAAATGAGCCTTATTTTTTATTTATTTTTAATCAGGTTTTGGGAAGCTGTGCAAATATTAAAAACACTTCCGCAAAGCCAAATTGAAAGCAAAGTTGCTGAAATTTGGTCGGAATTTTTAGCGCCAGACGCTAGTTGTCCTATCAACGTCGATTCACGTTCGTACGAAGTTACTAAAAAAAATATGGAGAACGCAAATCGATGGACTTTTGATTGTGCTGCGGTAACTTTTTTATTTTTAATTATACAGCTGTCTCACGTAACTGGTTCATTACAATTTTCGATCTAAAATATTTTCAAGATGGCCGCCGATGACCATAACTTCGTTATTTTAAATGGAATGCTATAATTTTTATTGCACCTTTTAATTCTACGTAAAAAAATATGTTGGCTTTTATAAAAGTTATTGGTACCTAGCATTTTTCATTTTCTAGTTATTTTAGTTTTAAGCTTTTTTTGTCAAATTTCACCATCTTAAAAAATCTACCTCAAATGTTGGGAACATCTACCCCAAGAATAATATTTAGAGAAGGAGAGGCCTTTTTGTCTATATTATTAAATTATACCTCTAAATCATGGATTTTTTAAGATTTAAATTAGATATAGCCTCGTCTACTATCCATAAATACAAAAAAGTCTACAAGCGCATCGGTATTATCAAGAAGATCTGACGCCTAAGTTGGCATTTGTTAAATCGAAGAACATCTACCCCAAGAATAATATTAAGAAAAGAAGAGGCCTTTTTGTCTATATTATTAAATTTCACATTAAATTTATCTCGGCCAACGTTAATTCAAAAATGCTCTAAATTGGCACGATTACTCTTCAGATGCTGTCAAATAGATTGTCATTTGTTGTATCACGGTATCTTATGGGGTTTTAAAGAACGTGGTGAAATTTGCCAAAAAAAAACTTAAAATCAAAATAACTCGAAAACGTGATTTTGCGAACAGCCGGATATTCGGCATATCTATATAATATCTATATATAATTTCTGGTGCATTTTTGAAGTGATACCCTATCTTGCCACATTATTGCGATATTTGAATAAAAATGAAATTAATAAGGAAGCTGATAAGATATGTCAACTTATTTGGATCTAAGATACAAAATGAACTTTTTTGATGCTGATTTAACTAATCAGCAACTAATTTTGAAAGTTATCGATGAAAATTGCAACATGGAAAATTTTATCAAAACTTCAAGTATAGTTTTCTCAAAAACTAAAAGTTATTTTTCAAAACGGGTTGGTTCATTGCAAAGAAGACACTTTTATTATCATTTTGGGACATTTTCACACTCATATTCCAAGAAATGGATTTTATACGAATTTTTAAAACTTAATCGACGAAAATTGCAAAATCGATTATTTCAAAAATTTATTTCTCAAGAACTAAAAGTGATTTTTCAAAACGGATTTTTGCATTAAAAAGAGGATACTATAATTAATAATTGGTGATATTGCCACAAGGATCCTTCAAGAAATTAATTTTATAGCGAATTTTGAAAATAATCGATGAAAATTTCAAATTATCAAAACTTCAAATATTGTTTTCTCAAAAACTAAAAGTTATTTTTCAAAACGGGTTCGATCATTGGAAAGAGGACACTTTTATTAACACTTTGGGAAGTTTTCATACTCATATTCCAAGAAGTGGATTTTATACGAATTTTTAAAACTTAATCGGCGAAAATTACAAAATTCGAAAAAATTGTAGATTATTTCAAAAATTTATGTCTCAAGAACTAAAAGCGATTTTTCAAAACGGTTTGTTGGATTAAAAAGCGGATACTATAATTAATAATTGGTGATATTTCCACAAGGATCCTTCAAGAAATGAATTTTATAGCGAATGTTGAAAATTATCGATGAAAATTGCAAATTATCAAAACATCAAACATTGTTTTCTCAAAAACTAAAAGTTATTTTTCAAAATGGGTTCGGTCATTGGACAGAGAACACTTTTATTAACACTTTGGGAAATTTTCATATTCATATTCGAAGAACTGGATTTTATACGAATTATTAAAATTTAATCGGCGGAAATTACAAAATTTGAAAAAATTGTAAAAATTGTCGAAGAAGAAGAACAACATTTATTTGGATTTATTACAAATACGAATAAATTAAAAAAAAAGAAAAATACATAAATAAAACAAATATACGATAGGTCCAAAAGGGCTATAGACCTGAGTCTTCCTGCCCTTGACTTCTTCTTCTTAGTTGGGCCTTATTTTTTTTAAGCAGTGTGAGCCGTGTGATGGGACAGTGGGTGAGGGAGAAGAGAGTGATGATGAAATTGTTTAGGGCGTTTATGGGGAAGTTTATAGTTGCTTTAAGGGATAAGGATTGTAGACGGGAGTTTATAGGAGAAATCTTTATAAGGTCGTATAGGAGTTCGTTGGAAGGGTTGAAAAGTGGGTTGTGAGGGTGTCTAATGCGAGTGATGCTTCTCTCTGCTACCTCCAGATGGTACTGTGATCTTCTTGACGCTTCAGTCATGATTAATGAGGCATATTCGATAACAGGTGTCAGATCACTGCGGCGGATTGTTGTTTTTGGTAACGTGCGACTTGGAAATTTGAGACAAGCACTGCCAAGGGATCAACAGCAACAACATCGAACAGCTTGTTCTTCAAGTGTACCTCGAAGAGTTTCCTCATTACGGGTAGCAATGAGATAGGACGGTAGTTCGCAGGGTCGGATAGAGAAGAATCTTTCTTTTGGGTGCATATGATGATGTGGGAAATGCTGGGTGGTAAGGCAATAGTTGTATATTTTTCTTATTTTTCTTGGTATCCATGGGCTGTTCTGGTTCCTCTGTTAAGTAGTGTGAAGTATTCTTCCTCCTGCATAAGAGCATCCTGAGGTGTTTCGAACGAATTGAGAAACGCGTGTTGGTACCACTTGTCTAGCCAGCATGGATATTTACGATTTTTTCCAGACTAGAGTGTGAGCAGTCATCCGTAGGGTCAATAAGCGCCTTTTGGTACTTCGAAAGTTTGCGGACTTCCTGCCAGTAGTTTTTACCCTTGCTTCTGTTGATTTTATCACAGGCCTCGATGTATTTTTCGCTTCTGAACTGCTGCACTAGCTTTTGGATATTTTTATTAAGCTCGTTGAACCTTCTTTTCAGAGCAGGCTCCTCATAGGATAATAATAATAATAATATATTTATTGGTGAAACCAAAAAAAAAAAGAGTACAATTTACAATTACAAAAATATCAGATAAAAAAAAATGAATTATACTATAAGTACTAAATCATAAATAATAAGCGGTTTACCAAAGGAAACCGAGTCAATGCACCTGATGGACTCAGGTGTTATTGTTTTTCATCGGTCCCTTGATCAATATAGAAAATATATATAAACAGAATCCGATCATGCAGTAACACAATAAGGTAAGAAAGAAGTAAAAGTAAAAGAAGAATAAAGGAAGGAGCCGAAAAAGAAATAGAAAAAGAAGAAAAAGAAAAATAAATAGAAGAGGAAGGATAAGAAAGAAGGGATAGTTTTATACATACTATATATATATCCCGTCAAGCAAAAGCTTGTTTATCTTAAATCACCCTGCTGCCGAAGAAGATATGCTTTGTAAAAAAATTTAAAACTACTCTTAGATTTATTGTTAATATCAGTAGGAATGCTATTGATCAAATTAGGTATACTATATGAAAAACATCGTTCAAAAATTTGCAATCTATGTTGGGGTATAGACAAGGAAGAACGACGACGGATGTTGATGTTATGCACGTCAGAGCGGTATCTCAATTTATTTAACAAGTAGGGAGGCTTTTGATTGAAAATAATTCTTCGATAAAAACAAGCAGAGTGCAATTTACGACGCCGAGACATATTTAACCACCCAACCCAGTTTAAGGTATGGGATATTTTTTCTCGCTTTCGAATGCCAAATATAAAGCGTAAGCATGCATTTTGCACACGTTGAACACGCAACGACTCGGCAACATCTAAACAGGAGCCATATAGAACATCCCCATAATTAAAAATGCTTAACACCAGTGCATCACAAAGCTGCGCTCTCAGACGCTGATTAAGCAGTTGTCTATTGCCATATAGTAGCTTCAACGTGGCATAAGCACGCTGGAGAAGAGAAGCGACATGTTTACGAAATCTAAGAGTAGAATCAATAGTGATTCCCAGGTTTCGCGACTCATCAGTAATATTTAGCTTAACGCCATTCAATTTTAGATCCACAGATGCCTTGACTTCCCCAACGGCTCGCCGCCCCCCAAAGACCATAACCGACGATTTATCCGGGTTTAATTGAAGGCAAAGTTTTGAAGATTCCTCAACCAATCTTGTCAAATCAGAATTTATACAATTTTGTGCATCAGCAAGGTCATTGATGTTAAAAGAATAGTAAAGTTGCGTATCGTCAGCATACATGTGAGCCTTACAACTTCTCAGTACATTATATAAATTGCAAGTGTAAATTAAATAGAGAATTGGACCAAGAACTGATCCCTGAGGAACTCCAGACGATACAGCACATTCAGTAGAGAAGTTGCCATTTAGAGCTACCATTTGCTTACGACCAGTTAAATAGTTACAGAAAAACAAAATGGAATCATCAGAAAGTCCAATGTAATGAAGCATAGATAAAAGAGTTTTATGATGAACGGTATCAAAAGCCTTTGAATAATCCAGTAAAATTAAAATAGTGACATTTTTCTGATCAATCTCACGAACAATGTCGTCGGTCACATCCAATAGGGCAGCAGTACAGCTGTATCCTTTACGAAAGCCAGATTGCCGCATAGGTAGAATATTGAACTTATCTAAGTGCTCTCGCAACCTGTCAGCAATAATTTTTTCCAGAATTTTAGATATAACCGGCAAAATACTAATCGGTCTCAAATCTTTTAATTGGCTGGGATTGCTAGATTTTGGAATTGGCGTAATCAGAGCAGTTTTCCAACAGTCAGGAAACACAGAGCCATGAATGCAATAGTTAATAATATGACAAATATAAGGCAAAATCAACGGGCAACACAGCAACAACATCTTTATACCAATACCATCAGTACCAATAGCATTTGATTTGAGATTGAGTAGTACGTCATAAATCTCTTCTTTAGTTGCAAGCGTTAATGTCAGCTTCTCAGTAACACCAGGTACTGTGTTTAAGTTATAATAATTAATAGTGTCCATATCACCCGTAGCAACTATTTGAGAAGTCCGGAATAGGATCGCTGTAGAGTCGTAGCATTTAATCCACCAAATTTAGCAAGCGTTTGTTAAAGGTTACGACCGACTCGGGTTTAATAACTGGGTTAGACTTTACATATTCCTTTATTCCTGCGTTCACGCTTTCCATATTACAAAGCTTATAGTTTTTGATTAAGGTAGGAGCTACTTTAGGTATTCGAGTGGTTGTATTAATGACCACGAGTACAGATTAGGAACGACATTAACAGACGTGATGAGCGGTCTTATGTTGTTTGCGCAGAAGATTAAATCAGGCTTAAATTGGGATTATTTTCCATGACAAACGTCGGAGGTGTAACAGGTTTATGAATGCGGCATTATCTAGTGATTTGGTTCATGATTTCGTATGATTTTTTGTTAGCCGATTTAATTCTAACGTTGGGGACGCCTTGTATAGGAGCTTTGGGTCGCTTTTTGCATATCATAGACTAGGCACTATGGCCTTCAATGCCACAGGACCTGCACTTCTCTGGTAGTTGGGAGGTACATTTGGTGGTACTGTGCGGACCCAAACATTTGGTGCATTTTACTGGAGCATTACATATAGGTCGTGTGAGCAAAATCATGACATTTATTGCAATTGGAATTTGGAATTGGAATTGGTGGAGGACGGCTCTCGTAAACTGGGAAATGACTGTTTTTATAAAAAAACGTCGAATTTAAGTATGAAACCCTGTTGTGTTTTAATAATCACGCCGCGAGGATTAAACGAATTTTTCGTCAAAATTTCGGATAATTCAATTCTGCTCAGTGAGACACATGGCTTTACGAAAAATACGTTATTGTATGTTCTGGTTTTTTGTTGATAATTGAGCGGCCGTTCGGTGAATTGGTTTGTGGTTGATGCACGTGGAGGGCGTTTATCTGAATTCGGTGTTTGCGGAGTGCCCGTATTTTTTGGTAATTTTGGAATTTTGAATGTGGAGACACTACTAATAGGTTTTTAATAACCGGATAGCCGCCGGATATCCGTTTCACCACCACTTTGAATGTTTAGTTCCATCACTAGAAAAAATTGAACATTTAGACTATTAACATTTGAACAGTTAGTAGAATTTTATAAATATGATTTAGATGACGTCTCAAAACTTGTAGTTGGTGAATTTAAACTTTGGTACAGAAAATTTTATAATGGTTTACCAGAAGAAGTGTTGAAAATTTTGTGCACTAGTAAGCACAGCTACTCCAGAGAGAACATTTTCAATTCTAAAATTGTTGAAAACATATTTATATTTATATATTATTCTTTACATTATGTTGTTATTTTAGAAAAGGATTTATTTTATTTGTTAATAATTTCTATATTGAATGATATTATGAAAAATCTTGAATATACATTTAAGTTTCGCGTATTTAAAACATTAATAAATCGTGGGAAAGACAACTGGTTATGCGTTAGGGATTGCAATTTTAAAATATTATCTCGCCGATACAAATTCACATCGTACTCTGGTAGAGAATAACTTGATCAGAAAATCTTTTCCACATTCTAAAGCCAAATAGGTATAGACAAATGTTTAAACTTAACATATGATGGAGTTACTTAATTAATAATTTTAGGGTAGTGGCCACTCCAAGAATGCAGTAATAATAATGATTTGGGTAATACACCTTTTTCAACCAAAGTTTTTTTTAGTCACAGTTCAGAATTGAATATACTTTAGAAATGGATCAAAACAACTCAAAGATTTACAGATTTCATATTAATAACTATCTGATATCCGGCCGGATTTAAAAAAATGGCCGTATAGTTTCCGGATATCCGTTCCACCACTACTAGGTACCAATAACTTTTATGAAAGTCAATATATTTTCTTTACGTTCAATTAAAAGGTGTAATAAAAACTATAGCATTCCGTTTAAAATAACGAAGTTATGGTATAAGTGGCGGCCATCTTGAAAATGTTTTAGATCGAAAGTTCCGAATGAACAACTCATGCTATCAAAATTTCAAAGCGGAACTTAAAAGTTACGTGAGACACCTTGTATTTTAACATAATTATGTATTAATAAAAAAATATATTTTAGTCTCATGTGTATCATCTTATGAAAAGTGACAGCTACTCAAGGTACCTGCGATCAGATATGTATAAGGAATTTTTAAATGGTTCCAAAAAAAAGGTTGGTATCACATTCATATCATATTATTTTTATGTTAATTCTTGGAAATTGTTTTTAGACATCAGTAAAGGGGATTAGATCGATAGTATCGTTTTCTGCAAGAAAAGATACGATAACTTAGTCGATGGATATACTACATCAATGCCATTGTTGGACAATACCGGAGCACAACTGTTATTAGCAGTAATTTAAAACAAAAATATAATAATAAAATAAAAAAAATTTCCCCATACACAAAACATGCATTACACACTTTCGCACAAGTTAAGATTTAAAATAAAAAAATAAAATAAAACGTTTATTTTCAAAAATACATCAAAAAGATCGAATGTTAAGCTCAAATATGTTCAGTTTCGATGGATGCTGCAGAGTAACAGATACAATCACTGCCAAATAAAAAATTAATATTTTTTTTCTATTTCCTTTTTGGTTTCTTTAAAACTTTTCAAAAATTTTTTTTTCTAAAGTGAATCGAATGTAATAAACAAAAAAAGCGGCTGTGTTTGGTAAAAAGAAATTTCTTCAACAAAGTGGCTCAAACCGTTAATAGAATAGTACGACTTTTGAAAAAATTTTTGTAGAGTTTTAACACATTCTCTTTTTATTTCCACATCTGTAATAGTAAAACTCATACGGGTCACTCTTATCTTATTAAATGCACTATTCGCAAAAAAAAAACGAATGAAGATGCAATATACCCTCTGCTATTAAAAATAGGATCGGAAATGAAAAATTTCATTGTAAATATGTACATAGTGGTAAGGAGAAGTAAATGATTATGGATGAATTTAAATTTCGAAGTGGATTTATTACACTATAGTTAGCGCATACGTGACAACAACAAAAAGAAATATTTACTTAAGAGAAAGATTTATTTAAAAAGATTTCATTCAACGGTACGAATTGAGAAAAAAAGTGTTAAAACTTTTGTACGGTGCAATAATAAAAAAAATCAGCTTTTAAATAAAGCTAAAAAAAATACTAGCGAATATATTAGTCCGACTTAGTGATATATTGTCGTTGTCACTTAATTCCGGATTATTTAAAAAAATAAATGACGTCATGCTTTAAATGTATTACTAGTTGGGAGAAATAGCTGATTCGTGTAAATTCGATCAAAGTAATTCGACTTTGAGTCATTCATTTGCGGTACACGTATTCGTTGTCCTTTCGTTAGTAAATCCCAATCGGAAAATAACATACACTTTCATCCGATCAATTGTAAGGAATTGAAGAATATAAAATTGTCCATGTATGTAGGATATCGTAAAGTAAATAAAAAAAGTAATCACAACAAAGTATTTTTATGTATTAAATCATTCCTTACCTTATAAAATTATAAAGCATACGAATCGTGGGAATTTTTATTAACTATAAATAAATATACATGGACAAAAACAAATTGGCTAACTATAACATTTAACGCATCTAATGGGCAAAAGGTTGGTGTAGAGAGACATGATACGGATGAAACTTATTAAGTTTCAAAAATCCGATGTACAGGGTGGTTCAAATTCGATGTCCGAATAGGCTAACTCGGAAACTATAAGAATTAGAAAAAAAGTTGCTTACATGTCATGATCTCGTTTTTCGAGAAACTGCTAATGCCGAAAACCTCATAACGCTATCGTCTTTTGTTTTTCCCCTAGATGCCAAAATTGAAAATATCGTAAAACCAGCAAGTGCAATTATCTTCGTTATTATTCTAGGTGGAGTATTATAACTAAGACATTATATGGACACTTTTTTACAGAGAATTTGATGACGTAGTCAAAAAAATTTTTTCGGTTTTAGATTTTGATATCTTATTAAATTCTTTATTTTTTTCTAATTACAAAAATATAGGGTTCGACAGGTCTATTTCTTATTGTTTTAGAATAAAGCTAAAAATAAACTTTTTTTATAAAATTTTCATCTAGTGTCGTCCACGAAATTAAATTTACAATTTAATGTAAGTTACGGGGCGGTAGGTAAAATCTAAAAAGTTAACAATTAAATAAGAAGATAACTTCTGGTATTTAAAAACAAATAATTTTTTAATATTGACCATTCTAACAAATTTTCGAAATTCATCTTAAAAACAGGATTTTTAAAGCGACATCAGGGTATGATTTCTTGATAGGTATAAAATAAAGACGAAATTTTATTACTATAAATCCACTAGATGGCGCTACCATACACAATTTGCAATCTATGTTACCAACCAAAATACATATTCGAAATAATAATAATTATATTTTTTATATATATTATAATATACCAGAAATCGACGTCACTGTCATAATGTTAACTTCACATTTCTTTGCCATAAAGAAGACATCACAAATTAATTATAAATATGTTTGTTAAATTAATTTTGTAAAAGAATAAATAACATATAAAAGGTAAAATTAGATTAAAAACTAAATTCTAAGAACACATTGGCTGTTCAAGACCGTCATATTTTTTTAAAGAGAAAAAAATAAATTTATTTAATAAACTATTGTGTTCTATTTATCAATTAAACTAAGAAGTGGAAACCTGAGTATAATTGAACTCAGGCATTGTATCATGCATATACAGGGGGTTCCCCGGATAGGTGAAACGACTCTTATAAAATGTAAATTTTTTTCTGTATTAATTGTCATCTTTTGGGGTTCAGCCCTGCTTGGTTAAAGACTAATTTTGAACATATTTTCAAATTTTAAAAAACAAGGGTGTGTTAACACTAAAGCGAAAACTTCTTGTGTGTCAGGTAAAGTACCTTTTCTATTTACAGTATGGTAAAATGTTACTAAGAAATTCTATTCAGAATGAAAAGTTATGACCATATGTAAATTTTCGAAATGATTGGCCTACTTTGATAAAACCCATTGTTTATTATTTTCGTCAATAGTACTTTATTAGAATTTTTTGTTTTGAGATTCAGATTATTGGGGAGAAATAAACAAACCGTTCTTAAAATGTTCACAAAAAATTAAGTGTGTGTTCGCCCACAAAAGAAAACAGTTAATCAGTTTTATCATAATTTTTTTTTCTTAGAGTGAATACTTCCTACTGTAAGAAATTTTTTGATTAAACGCAAACAAGTACTTTTTTTAATTCCAGTATTTGGAAATTTTTCACTAAATAGAGCAATAACCATATTTATCGGTTCCCCGGTTCCATAACTCTGAATCACATAAACTTTTTCCTCTAATGTTAACATAGTACTTAAAAAACAGTTAAAGTTTACTATATTACAGTTTGACAGATTAACAGTGACAGGAAAGCAATTTTGTTTTTCCATGGCAGTCTTTGTTAAAAATAAAGTTGTTGGATATGGATTTTTTCAAAGTAGGCCGATCATTCCGAAAATTTGCATATGGCCATAGTTTTTCATTCTGAACAAAACTTCTTAGTAACACTTTCACGTACTGTAAACAGAAAAGGTACTTTCCCTGCCATAAAAAGCGTTTTTCTTCACTGTCAAGGGTCACTTCTTTTTTAAAAATTGAAAATATGTTCAAAATTAGTCTTTAATCAAGCAAGGCTAAACCACAAAAAATGACAATTAATATCTAAAAAATTTTACCTTTTATAAGAGTCGTTTCACCTATCCGGGGACACACTGTATATATATTTATATATTTTATATATTTATTTATTATTTATATATATATATATACAGGGTGATTCATAAGTAATGGGCCAAATTGTAAATGTACGTTCAGGAGGCCAAAATAATAATATTTTCATTAACAATAATGGGTCTTAGTCTGCTCCTTACTGAGATACAGGATGTTAAAGCGAAAAAAATAAAATAGATTTTTGTTAATAGATCAGCTACTTTTCTACATAATGACTCATAGTTGACTTATAGTTTTTGTAAGGGTAAACAATAATGTGTGAGAGGATTTGAGTTAACTCGTAGATGTCGCCACATGCGCCATATGAATTAGATGAAATCAGCTACAAATTTTTTATCGCTCATTATTTTACAACATACTTGTTTAATTTGGATAGCCCCATCATTTCTGTAGAAAAAAGCTATACTTCTTTGATCTTGAAAATATTAACGATTTTCGAGATATTTGAATTTTACTAATTCACTACACTACATTTCACGGTGGTCGACGTAGCATTAATCTGTTAAGACACAAGCATGGCATGGAATGTTGACATTTACCTAACCGTAATTGATAATTGATAACAATATTAAACTGAAACCATAAAAAAATTACGTAATAAAACAATTTATTGTACGCCAGTTAATAAAACGAAATACAACATTAGAACAGACTTGAACTAAGACCACTTACGACAACTGTTATCAAAACCTACATGTTAATGTTGTGCGAAGTTAAATTAAATTTAAGCTTAATTATGAGCTACTGCAAAAGGTTTTCAACATGACCACCACCAGCATTTATACACGCATTTAACCGTTTGGTTAAGGATTGTCTGACTTTAAAAAATGTAGCAGGATTATTTCGTATTGAATTGGCTGCATCTTGAATTCTATTCCATAACTCGTCTCGTGTATTTATAGTAGGTTCAGCATAGACCATTGATTTCATGTAACCCCACACATAAAAATCAAGTGGATTAAAATCGGGACTGCGAGGTGGCCACTGAAATTCACTACCACGTCCAATCCAACGGTGAGGGAATGTTTCATTCAGATGTTCGCGCACAGCACGTGAAAAATGTGGAGGAGCACCGTCTTGCATGAACCACATATTTCTTCTTAGTTGTAATGGAAGATCTCCCAAGAGGTCGACTAAGTCATTATTTAAAAAAATTAAATATGACTCTCCATTTAAATTAGGAGGTAATTCAACTGGGCCCAGTAATGTATTGCCTATTACACCGCACCACACATTTATTTTAAACTCGTGCTGGAAATGTCTATCTTTTTTTAAACGAGGGTTTTCGGTTTCCCAGGCATGACTATTTCGCCAATTAAAAACTCCGCGTCTGGTAAAGGTTGCTTCATCCGTGAAAAGAATGTTATTTAGGAATGTTGGATTATTATTCAATTTTCCTTTTAGCCACTGACAAAATTGAACTCTGATTCGATAATCTGTTGGAAGTAAATTTTGCACAGGTATAAAATGATAGGGATATAAATTTTCCTTGTGTAAAATTCTAGTCACGGAT